TTGCAGGTAGCTTTTTAATACTAATAGAAATCTATAATAACAAATTCAACATGCTAGCATTGTTTAAGTGTACATATAGCCTGTACATCCTTAATTAAAATCTAATAACAGTTTGAGAATTTGTAAATCTTCGATTTGACAGACTACGTTCACTAATCACGAAAGTCGGTTAAATTGCAGTTAAACCGAGGGTTTCCTGTGTTACCAAATGGCAGTATTTTAAATACCTTATCACAAGTGCGATAGTGTTTGCTTACACTTGAGATAAGAAAGTGGCAACGAAAACATATTAAGTTATTATGTACATACAGTTACTATGGACCAACTTGGACATTCGTACCAACAATAAATGTTACGATGCAAATTAAGTATTCATACTATGATTTTTGTATGGAAATCGTGATGACTACTGTAGGAATCGTGGTTTTCAGCAGCTGAACGCGGACAATCCTGTTGTCGTAGTCTGTAAAGCGATGGAAAAGCAAATGTACTATTATTGATGCTGGGTTCCCAATGGACCTAGTAATTCCTTCGAAACAAATGGCCAAAATTATGGATTAAATCCGCTGGTATTTAAAGTCCAGGTAGACAACGTACGACTCTCCCAAGATTTCTTCACGGTTTTTCTATAGCATCTTCACGATTCTTCCATGATTTTATTATAGCATCTCTACGAGATTTTTCTACATCTTCACATTTCTTCGCGAAGAAGTCATCGGAAAATCATGGCTGTTATTGCCTAATCGCTTGGCCCTATGTGCAGAAGATATGAAACAGTGAGGAAGATCACTTTCATCCATAGGCAACCATTCTTCTCGCTGTTACTTAATATTCTGACAACTTTTAATTGACGTAATGGATTTATGAATATTGATAGGACTGGTTTAACAAAACTCGATTGTGGTTGAAATTACTCATCCTCATTATGCATTCCATGCTCTCTGCGCGTATAGTCTTGGCTACTCGTTCTGCAAAAATCACTGGTCCTACTGAGGCGCCTAGCTTTTACTTTCCACTTCTATTATTACACTAACTGGATTGTCTGCGTTGCCTGCTGGAAATTGTAGCCTGATTACTCCATAAGTCAAAAACGCATATTAACACTAACTAACTATTAACTAACAGTCATTTTGCTTTTGGACAAATGTACAAATAATAATGCATAAATTATTTTTTTTTCCCAAGTGAAGTAAATTTTTTTTATTGTTAACATTTACTAATAACTTGTTATATGACTGTAAATAATATAAAAAATATTAAAAATTAATTTTAGACAAATTTCTTTACACATTATTCTTTCACAATGTAGTCATTTTTACTGCTTTTCGGCAATATTGATATATGTATACTAAGTTTCAGTCTTTCTAGTGTTAACAAAAATTCTTCTCTAATACATATTCAAACACAAATCGGTACAATTTTTTTTACGTCAGATTATATTTTAATAACCAGTATAATTGAATCGCAGGTTACGGTCTCGGAGTTCCATCAATGGAACAACATAGCAGGCCACGTGGTCCCTATAATTTTGGCTTTATTCTTTGGCAACTGGAGCGACCGTCGTGGACGAAAATTGCCGCTGGTCATCGGCCTCTTAGGGAAGTTCATTTATTCGTTCATGATCATTATCAATTGCATGATGGAGACGTGGAGTTTGAACACCGTCGTCTACACCGCGAGTTTGCCGATGGGGATGCTGGGTGGAGACGTCGCTGTCTTCGGCAGCTGCTTCGCATACATATCAGACATATCTTCCGTTAAACAGAGAACTCTGCGGATCACGATTTTAGATGTGGCATACCTCAGCACCATGCCTACAGGTATCTATCGAATTAACTTATCGTCGTGATTAGATTCCCGATTCTATACATTTATAACAAAATTGGAACAAAATGCATTTATAGTAAAATTATAACAAAATGCATTTGTAACAAAATTGTAACAGAATGCATTTGTATCAAAATTGTAACAGAATGCATTTGTACAAAAATTGTAACAAAATGTATTTGTATCAAAATTGGGAACAAAATGCATTTATAGCAAAATTATAACAAAATGCATTTGTATCAAAATCGTAACAAAATTTGTGGAGTATATAACAAAAATTTTTCGTCCTCTTTCCCCAGTCAAGTAAGACCGTGTCGTTCCTGATTACTTGTACCTTCCATCGTTCCTCCCTCCAATCAAAATATTGTTTTTTCATCCCACTAAAAACCCGCCCTCTAAAACCGTAACAAGTATTCCATTGCAAAATAAAGTACGTTTACTATAAAAATGTAATCTTGTCCATTGCAATTTCAGGCATTGCGTTGGGCTCTTATCTGTTCACGAACGTAGTACGGTCATCATATACCGTGATGTTCATCATAAACGCAACTCTGCTAGCCTTCGCAATTTTCTATTCGTTAATTCGATTGAAATGGCAGACGTTGCCTCAACAGCAGCCATTAGGTGATGCCAATTTGTTGACTGACTTTTTCGACAAGAAACACGTGATCGCTACTACAAGGACATTGACCAGGAGCAGACCTAACCATGGGAAGCTCCACCTATGGCTATTACTGTTGATCATGATGTTGTACACTTTTCAACGGGACGAGAAGCCTATGAGCTATTTGTACACGCAGCTGAAGTTCAAGTGGGACGTCAGCAAGTTCAGCACGTTCAGAACATTCCAGTCCATCACTTTCGTACTAGGTTCGTGTCCTCTGATCGTAAAATAGATCTGATATAATGTTTGCAGATAATGAATCGTTGCATTAGAGGATCTCTCCTCGATTCACGTTTTCCATATAATTTCAGTGAAAGCAGACATTCCCTGTGCGAGAACTTTCACACGAACTCGTTTACTTCATTTTTGCATATTTGTTTCAGCGATGTTAGTCGGCGTGCCAATAATGAGTAAAGTCATGCGGATCAGAGACACGATAATTGTGGCAGTTGGGGCGATCGCGCACGCTTCCGGGAGGGTCGTATTCGCGCTGGCCAAAGTTCCACAGTTGTTTTACGTCGGTAATAAATCAATATCGAATACTACATATGCATGTACAAATATCTCAAACAATTTTGGACCAGCTTCAATTGCACATGGCGCCACAACTGGTCCAAAATCGTTTGAAGTATCTGTTATGTATAATAATATAAAATTGATAAATGATTAATCGGTGTTTGTTAAGATTTATGTTAATTATTGGGTGTGATGGTTTTAGGTGCTGGTGTCGCTGCGCTAGGGCCAATAGTGGCACCTGTTCTCAGGTCGATGACCTCGAAGCACGTATCTGAAGAGGAAAGAGGTACAGCCGAAGCTAGGATATAATGACTCTCGTAAAACAGCGGGGTTGCTGTCGCTTTGACAAAAGAGGTCGTGGTTAGACGCTGTAAACCTATTAACTCGTCCCTTGCTGAGCTGCTGTTGCTCAATTTGTCATTTAAGCCATTTGATGTCTCGACTAAAGATTAATAGATTATGACACGATATTTCATTAGGTCATCAATCTATAATTAGTTTATATAGAGTATATGGATAAACCAATTCAAAACTGTTAATATTTCGTAGAATTTTGAGATTTGGAGCTTTAAGTATATACAGAAGCTAAGAACATTTGTACATTATTAGCTTTGTAGTATGTCATCACGACTTTATTTAGGAAACAGGTATAAGGGACAGCAACCACAGTTATATGACAGTCATTATATCTTCTAGTCGGTCATAGAAACAGCTGTACCTTTACAGGACACAGTTGCCTTTGAAATAATTCTACAATACAGAGGATAATAAAAGAATTATTGGTTCCAGGTAAAGTGTTCGCCATGTTGTCGGTCTGTGATAATGCAGTACCTCTTTTCAGTGGTATATTGTATTCCCAATTGTACAATGCGACCATAAACGTGGCTCCCAGCTCAATTTACTGGTTAACGTTCGCTACTCAAGTCTTCGTCTTAATTTTTATACTGTACGTATTGAATTAAAGCAGACGAGATATACGAGTAGATCTTATAGACTTCTGTGACTCACGTTCGATTAACATAATCGATACGAGGAAATTAACGCTTATTGCGATATTATAAATTGTTTATTTTGCATAAAGATCTAGCATAGATCTATCATAGATCATAGATCTAGATCTGCATAGTCTATTGATAACATACATTAGATGAGGTCTACTCATATTGTATACATATA